GATGCAGTCGCACTTTCGCGGCTTCCCATCAACTTCATCCTCAGGATGATAATCCTCATAATCGTCATAATCAACTTCAATACAACGGTACGTTTCATTCATTGCATCACTCACAAGCTTCTTGATGCTGGGGACCACAACAAAAGATGCATTATGAAACTCATCCCTGTCTGCTCTTGCCACCATCTCACTTGCCGCCTCAGGACGAAGAATCATAAAGTTCTCATATGGGTCAGGCTTGAACTTGGTCATGAAAACAATTTCTTTATTGTCCTTGCAATGGAAACATCCTTCGTACGGAACCTGGTCCGCCTGATGTCACCTTCCTTGACAACATTTCCCAGAACATTGGGCGGCAGCTTCCATGACATGTCGAAGATGATGAGAGAACAACGCATCCTCTGTGGAAATTGCTGAAACCAAAGGACCTCTGCCTTGTTGATAGTCAGCATGGAACCACGGTCGATCATCTCCTTATCCACAATCAACTGATGACTCAAAGCAGAATCACAAAATAAGACTAGTCACGACGAAAGGAGCCCCCGGCCGTCTGTCGTCGTCCGGAGGATCCCCATTTCTGGTTTCGAGAAAAACGCGAAAGAAAGAAAAAGTGAGGTGTTTGCGAAGCTCACAAGCGTTCCAGACCAAAAAAGAGTAGCTTACCATGACAGAAACACAACAACAAACATAGACTCTTCTTAACTTAAACTATTTAGTAACAGGTGCATCCTTGGTAACATCTTTGTTCTTTGTTGTGGTCCTTTTCTTTCTGGTTTCCTTTGCATCTTTCGTGTTTTGCTTCACCTTTTCGCGACGGTCGTTGCCTGGGTCTTCCTTGAAGTATGGCAGTTGTTGCCTCTTGTCATATGGAACAAGAGGACGCCACTTGTCGTACAGCTCAATCCATTTGATATCTCTGATGCCGGTAGGAGGAATAGGTTCCAGCTCCTGTAGCTTAGACTTCCAAGCCTCAACAGAGTCGTCGTCAGATTGCTTGTTCTTTGCGTGAATCTTCTTCCACAACATCTTCTTCAACAAGCAGGTGTACACTCGATAAGACTCCTGCGTGTACTGGGTGATGAGGAAGTTCCCATTATCCACTGTAGCGTCGAAGGTAAAGACATGGTGAGACGTAACATGATCCGGGACGTACAAGAGCTTCTGTTCGAGCTTGTCCCAGTCGTAGAAGACATTCGCCACATCTCTTCCACACCACACTGGAGTCACCGAAGGATGCTTCAAAGCAAGCATTAGATCCTCGGGAGTGTAGACGTTCGCCTGTTGAAGAGGTAGTGAGTAAGACGTTTACAGTTTCAGGTTTTCGAGTGAAGAAGCACAATGGTCAACGTACCTTCCTGTATCGCTGTTTCATTAGATTGAAGAGTCGATCACAGTCATTCTTTGTGTGGCCTCGAATAAGGAAGTTTGCCCTGACAAGCTTGGCCACTCCAAGCTTAATAAGGAAGAACATCATTCGGATAACCATTCGATTCTTGTTCTGGCCAGGGCAGTTGTCAAAGACAAACGTAATCTCCTTGAAGGGCTCTTTGGTATCTAAAACACCAAGACGCTTGAGATGCAACCACAACATCGATGCCACGTTGTTTCCACCCTTCTTCGCAGTGTCTTCGGTGTAGATGTAGCCGTGTAGGTGGTCATTCGCACAATCAACAACACCAAAGCAAAACGTATTCAGCGGAGAGTAGTAGTAGGTCTCTCCTGGTTGTTCTGACCCAAAGTGAGGAATGCCCATGTTTTGAGCATAGTCAGCAACAAAGCACAAGTGTCGCTCGCTTGGTGGTTTGTCTTTGGTGAGGCGACTGATAGCTTTCTCCTGTTGGAAGAACTCACGTTGGATCTGTGCGTCTTGCACATGCTTGGCAGCTTGAAGCAACATCTCCTCTTGTTCTTCCATCAGCTTCTTCTTCTCTTCTTCTCGCTTCTCCTCCTCGGTCAGTTTCTTCTTCGCTGGTTGGGTAGGCTGTTCTTCCACGGCATTCTCTTCTCCTTCTTGCTCAACTTCCATTGCTACTTCTGTAGCCGGATCGTCTTCGTCTTCTTCAGTGTCACCGGACAAATTCAATTGGTCAATTGCCTCCTTCCTAGCTTCATTCTTCTTCATGCGTTCCACCATGAACTTGTGTCTGTTGATGTAGGTGTAGCATTCGTTGCATACATCCTCTCGCTGACCGGCAATCACCAACTTGGGATAATTCTTTTTCCAGAAAGCGTGGAACTTGGACCAGCTGCAGACTGTCTGCTGTTCCATCTCAGGGATTGGCTGGTTGTAGGAGACGCATCCTCTGACGTTTACAAGGTATTTGTAGCCTCGATCGCGAAGGTACCTTCCGTACAAGGAACGCTTCGTGGTTGCAGAAGGCAATTCCAGTTTTTCGTCATCCTCATCCCTTGCAGTAAGTTCAACTCTATCTCCGACAAGCTGACGAACCAACAAAGTGGCTCTTGGACAAGCCAGTGCTTTCATTTCCTGGAAGAAATCTTCTAAGGACTCATTCATTGCCACCTTGGAGTGATTCTTGTTGCCCAACCCACCATGGGTGCCTGTGGTCTTGCCCTCTGCTACATGAACACAGCCCATCCAGCGCTTGTATCCAAAACCAAGGAGTCTCATCAAGGTGTCGCGACAGCATGCTTGGTAGGGTGTTCCTGGGACAATCCAGCATCTGATCTGCTCTTCTTGGGTGAGGACCCATCTGCAGCGGAAGTACTTGCGCTGATATCGGATCCATTCAACAACAAAAGAGGTTTGTCGCTCCTTTGTCATCAAGGCGAAAGTCCACAGAAAGCGACAAATTGAGTCAAACTCCAGGGAGCCGGCGTCTGGAAGATCTCCATTGCAACAGCAAGCCTTGGTCCTGAATGAATTCTTCACTGCAACACAACAATCTAGGAGGCGGTATGCTGTCAACCAGTCTCGGATCTCTTGTTGGAGTGCTTCCACGTTGGGCGGATTTTGGCATCTTGTTCCTCGCAAAATCTTCTCTCGAAGCTCCCTCGCATGGATCTTCCTCACGGGGCTTGGTTGCAGGTCATCACTAGAGTTGTCGCCGGTGTTTGCAGGGGTAGAGAGGCCTGCCATGGTGTCGAAATAGAGTCAGTTTGGCCATCTTTGGTTCCTCGGTGGTAGTGGATTTCGTTTTCTTTTCGATCGAAAGTGTGGGAATGGCGTGGGAGTCGGCCAATGCCGCACGACCTCCTCTCATCGCACCGACAGACTTATATCTGTCGGTTAGGTATTACTCAGTAACTAGACCGAATCTGGGTATGATCAATACATCGCTGGATAGCTCTATATGTTACGAAGACGTTCCGCGCATAAAAGAATTTTCGAGGTTCCTCACATTTTGACCGACGACGGACAGACCCGTGCCCCAAAACGTCGTGACTAGACTTAAATGCATACATGAGACTGTTGCTACCATCAGCGAGAACAAAGCAAACAAGGTCAGCAGGCAGATGCCCAAAGGTACGTTGGATATTGAAAGTAGCAACAACCAGAAGCTGTTCCGAGAAGAAGATAGTGGAATCCTCATCATCTCTCTTGTTGTTGTCAACAGAATCGAGCCACTCTCGAGACCTCTCAAATGTGCCATCCTCCAACTTCCTGAATGCTGGCGTCTTCTGATGACTGAAAGCCAAGCTGGCAACAAAGTCTGGAGATGGCTCTCCAGCATACTCAACTACAACCATGGATGTTACCGGCATGGTTTTCAATGAAATGGACGTTTCATTATCTCGCTTTTATTCTACGATGGATTTCGCCGTGGAATGAGTACCAACAAATGGCTTGTCAACAACATGGGAAATGCAGATTCCTATCCGGCTGGCTCTGTTTCTTGGTGCTTGTCGCGATGATCCAGACTCCATGACAACAACAAACTGCCTTTTTCAACAACAGACAATGATGTACGTTGTGGTGCTCGATCATGCCCTTCCGGTGAACCAAGGAGGGTATGGACATAGCGGATGGAAGGTGTGCCTGTGCTCTACAGGACACCGTTGGGGTGGAGAGTTGCCGAGGGGTGTAACGTGTGAGTGACATGGTGCAGAGTTAACAGACTTTTTTCGATACCCCAAACTAACACACTCTGTTCTACACGTATAAAGCACCAGCAACTCTCTACCCCGACACAAGTTAACAGCCATGGCTATTGCGAACACACACATTCACTGCATGGGTCTCTACATGGCCGGTGAGTCTAACTGCAGCGGCATGGAGCTAACGGCATCGGATCATTGTCGGTGGATAGAATAGGCTCGATAAAGTCTGAAATAACACGAGAGTTTTCCGGGTTACCTCCCGCTGACGTGCAGACCTGGTGGTACCTCCTTAAGTAGTGAATCCCAGCAATTTGTTGTTTCGGTGAGCGCCAATTCTCGCTTATTGGGCTGTTCCTATTCGGCTCATCATTCAATTGAATCATTCGATTGAAGATTCAACATTCGATTCGATTCCATGAGGCGCTGATTGGATTCTCACTACTAGTACCTGGTACCTCTAGCTAGCTAGCATGGAAGCTTTACTCAGAAATCCGTCAGTATCAAGTCAAGTGATCTGTTCCATGCTGTCGTCGTGCAGTACTTGTGCTCATGGCGCACTTTGAACTTCAGAGGAAGTGCCTGCCCTCCATAGCAACATTATCATGAGCAGATGTCCCAAATCGTCCGTTGATGCATGTGTGACTTCTCGTATCTGGCATTGCCTTGTTCTATTCACCAAAACCATAACGGGCATGGCGCACGCAGTTTGCAACTTCCAACGTTCCTCCCATCCATCCATTATCGGCAATGTCAACATGGAGCGGGTTGCCTTGCGGCGTAACGCATACTGTATCATCATCACCTCATTAAAAAGTTGTCATTTGATATTGTACAAGTACTGTACCACCACCGAACAGGACCGCCACCAACACAGCAGCAGCAGCAGCAAGGGGCAAGCTATAGAGTAGAGTATCGCATTGCTTGTTGTTTCTATGAACATGACAGAAGCAGCAGGATCCGTAATGGGGGAGGATAGGTCACATCCCAATCTTCAAGCATTGGACGCGTTGACGTTGACGTACCCGGGATTTGAGCGGGATAAACGAGAAGCAGAGGCAGTTCACCTAGGGAGCTCCAACTTGTCTCTTAGCTTTGACGCGGCCATTCGGCGGCTCAAGGTAAAGCAACGAGCACACGACGAGCAAAAATCGATGCGATCCATTCATCGTTCGCACCCCAACTTGGTGTCATTGGATGCGCTCAAGCTGTCCTATCCAGGTTGGAACGAAGACGCCCAAAGGGCCGAGGAAGCCCACAACAGCAACCCCAACTGCGATTTCCTGGAGATTTTGCGCAAGATACAAGTCAAACAGCTACGATTCGAAAACGATAGAAGTCACTACCGACTTGCCGAAATTGACAATCTCAAGCTGTCGTATCCTGGATGGAAGGCAGATATACGGGCACTGGAAAAGTTTCACTTTGAAGAAGCGTTCTTTCTTCCGGGGGATTCGTTGTTTCAGAGCAAGCTGGATGGACTGAGACGAAGGCAACAAATCTACATTCGTTCCACTAAGCTAAGGGCACACAGACTTGGTCAAACTTCCTCGACGGACCAAACCGAAGAGATCTCCACGTATGTTACGCCTGTCAAAAAGCCGTATGCTGTTCTGCTTGGCAACAAGAACAAACCAATGCGTCGCCCAGCGGACCCTATCGAAAGCGACCAACATGAGACCGGTTCCGACTCGGAAGATTCGTCGGTAGAAGAGGAGAGGACAGAACGTCAGCATACGCCATTATCCCCACGAACTCCCTATGCCGTAGTTGTCGATGCAGATGCCGCTTCGGGTCACCTAGTAGCCAACGCAACCGCTTCGCGTACACGGTTCGACCCAACCAATCCGCGCCCGGACCCACCAGAATGCGACAAAACGAACGCCTTCAGCAATAGTGGCAGTACGAAGAATAGCAGTGGCCGGGGCGGCGTGGACTGTGATAGCACTGGAGGCTATAAATATACACGCCAACGCGTTGACTGTGACGAACAGGTGGCGGTTCGGGACCAGCCAACAAGAGACTACTATGGCCAGGAAGCAAAATCGGATCCTCTGGGCTTTTCCAACGACAAAGACGACGACGTTGATGACGACTACTACTATCATCAATCTGCACCCTTGGCGTCATGCCAAAAACAACCACAAACAGCCTGGCCAAGTAGGCTGAGCTCTTACATTGATTTGGAACCTATCCAGGACGTTGAAGAACCAACCGAGGAAGAGCCCATCCAAGATGACGAAGAATCAACGAGTGAAGATGTCGATCGGGTTTCGGCACTACCAAGCTCAGTACGATACCCATTCTCAAAGAGCTACACACAGAGGGGTAAATCGTCCACATATCAACGCAATGTTGTGAACCGCTCACAGGGAATCTACTCAGCCCCACAACTGCCTCTGGACGAGGAGGAACGCTCCAATGGTTCGAAAGCTTTTTCGCTTGCTACACCGTCTAGCTCCCGTGCCGTCTTCCCAGAAGATACAGCTTCGCAATCCAGCACCAGGGCGGTTTGGCAGGAAGAACGGTCTGAACGATCTGGTAATAGATCCATGGTTTCGGCATCCAGTTCCAGAGCAGTTTGGGCCGGGTCGCCGAATCCATACATTCCACAAACACCACTCAGTATCCGACCAGTGGTCCCCATGCCTGAAACGCCTCCGCACCAATTCTCGTCGCGGCTCAGGGGCAGTAGTAGTAAGGGAAGTGCCAACCAACATCAAAACAGTCGAAAGGCGACAAGCGATCACTCAGGAATCCGGTCCATGGGCAGTGAGGAGCCACGCAGCCGAGATGCCCCCATCGAACAATCTCGCAACCGCAGTAACGTCAACGATCAGGGACGAGTGAGACGGGCACGTCGTGCCGCTGAAGCAGACAGGTCCCGGGGAACTCGCAACGCGCCCCGGTCCGTTTCCTCGAATGCTACGAGCACTTCTGGCGCTCGCTCCAGGAAACTCGGTCGATGCACCATATGCGGCGACACAGACAAGAATCATGTTTTCGTTCCATGTGGCCACTTGTGCGCATGCAAGAATTGTGCGGGGCAAGTGATTAAGAGAAACATGAAGTGTCCAGTGTGTCGGGGGAGTGTCACCGAGGCGATCCAGGTGTTCTTGTAGCTACGGCACAGTTGATGAGCGTGGCGGCTTGTTTAAAACTGCCTGTCAACCTCAGGCTGGGGATAACCAATGAGGAGACAGAATAGTAGCTAGCTATCTAGTTCTCAATCGGTTTCATACCTGTTAATCACTGGACCTCCTTATCAACAAACTTGCTTTCGTAGGAATGGCATTTTCCCCTTCGATAGTTACAAATGAGACTATGGGGGAATGGACTCGACCCCTGAGGAAGAGGGCAAGGTGCAAGGGGGCGAGCTGGACAGCCACGAGAGGAGACCAACCAAAGGAGGAATTGGTGCCAATGAATGAGGTATGGGAAATGAGAACGTATCAAAGGACAAAGACTAGTTGTAGAGATCAAGAGCGCCACATTTGTCCCAATGCCGGGAGCTTATGGTAGTACCGGTAGCAGCCAGGAACATGAGAACCACGGACGGTGCACATCATAGCTGCTCGAGCCAGGGCAATGCTCAGTGGAGTGGAAACATAGGAGGGAACCACAGAGTAGGGTTTGGACCACTTTTTTTGCCAAAAGCTGGGAGAGCCATTGGAGAACCGTGGCAGCTTCAGCAGGAGGAAAGAGGCTGTCAGAAACAACAAAAGGCGGTGAAGTGCCAGCATTGGGCAGTGTAACTGAATCAGATACTTTGTCTTCTTCACCTTCTCACACTGGGAAATGGCCTTCACAGCAGTGGCACCTTGATCACAACGACCAGGGGACTTCAACATCAAGGCATCTTAGACGGAAACAGAAGATCGCCTCGGGCCTGCAGGGAGTAGGAGCATGGATGAATTTAAAAACTTAGCTGAGTCAATTGGAGCCAAGGCTGGGTGGCCAAGAGTGATACCGGGTTTGCCTCAGACAGCAGAGGGAATGAAAGATAGCTTAGAAGTCAGCAAGCTCGCGCCAATTGACTTTGGCTCTGAAGAAGAATGGCCCATGGTTCGGGTGTTCGGGTAGGAACACGAAAAAGGAAATCGAGATGGCGTTGCCGCAACTTGCTGCCCTGCGCGCAACATGGATTTTCGTTTGGATCCATGTAAAATCTAAAATCCAAGGATCCTCGCATGAAAGCTTCTTCAAGCTTTCTCCGAAGCATGAACACAAATAAATATAAGGGGGGTTTTAGAGTAGGGAAATTATCTACGGAAGCCAGCCGGGGCCAGGCTTAAGCAAAGAACAGTCGAAATTCAGGACTAGGTTCTGTGGGATCAGGGGCAAGAAATTGAGGACCATTACGGGGGGCAAAGGGTTTGGCTTTGCGGGATCCACGGAGACATAAATGGGTAGCTTTCACAAGGGCAATTGAGATACGGGTCTGCATGAAGAACATCATTTGAGAGTAGGAAAATTGAGTTTTGGAGGCAGTAGCAGAAGCAAGGCGTTGTAAGAGAGTCTTGGCTTGAGGGGCAAGCATGCCATCCACTGAAACAACAAAGGGGTGGAAGGAAGCGCGATTGGACTCGCACGCATCTTTATATTTGGAAATTTTGTCGCGTTCTTGTTGGGTTAAAACTTTGACGGGATCTTTGTTGCAGTAAGAGGCACAGTCCAAATCAGTGACACCTACATCAACACAAAGAAGAAGGGGTTTAGAGTAGGGAAATTATCTACGGAAGCCAGCCGGGGCCAGGCTTAAGCAAAGAACAGTCGAAATTCAGGACTAGGTTCTGAGGGATCAGGGGCAAGAAATTGAGGTCCATTACGGGGGGCAAAGGGTTTGGCTTTGCGGGATCCACGGAGACATAAATGGGTAGCTTTCACAAGGGCAATTGAGATACGGGTCTGCATGAAGAACATCATTTGAGAGTAGGAAAATTGAGTTTTGGAGGCAGTAGCAGAAGCAAGGCGTTGTAAGAGAGTCTTGGCTTGAGGGGCAAGCATGCCATCCACTGACACAAATAAATGATGCAACGAGGAGCCACCGTGACAATCCTCTACTAGCTGTCACTAATAACAGTCTTACTTAGAGAGAAGTATTGCATCGTGATAATGAGCAATGTGGAAGCAGCCATCAAGAATGCCTGTGAGGCAACTCTAGGGAAACCCCCCAAGGGGATAGTTTTGCGTCCAGCCGAAACCAACGATATCCCATCAATGCTAGACCTCCTGTCGTCCAGTGACAAGGCAATCCAACCTCGTCACGGTGATTCTTCTAGTGACAAGCCCAAGATGAACGTGATTCCAGAAGCCTGTCGTTTGGAGGGTGTCCCCAATTTTTATGGACTCGTCGTTATCAAGGATGCCACTGTCGTCGGCTTTGCCACCTTCTACATGGCATACTCGACATGGGATGCCACCGTGCTATACCTGGACAAACTGTTTCTGCTAAAAGACAGCTCGGATCGTCAAGCCTTGGAATGGTCACTGCAGTTTACACTGGCGGATATAGCGCTCCGATTGGGATGTGCTCGATATACTTGGCAGGTAAGCAAGCAAGCATGTCCAAGCAGATTTGGTGTGCTACGGTAGGTGCAGTATCGTTTCTGACTGTTGCAAATTTCTCATTTCTTGTTTGCTTCTGGATTTTGTTGGCATTCTTTGATCCAGCATTTTGCTCCCTGTCCAAAATACCCCAGTGATACTCAACCAGAAGTCCTGGATGGATGGCTCACTCTCTATTGGAATTATGACACAACAACCTACAATAAGCTGAACCACGCTGCTTCTTGGACAGCCGAGTCGGATCGAAATGCCATCAATCAGTGCCTGCGTGAGAAACAACAATCCAACAGTAGTGACCTGCACATCCGTTTGTCTACGGTAGACGACTTGGATCACATTGAACGACTGGTCCAGGGATTGGCAGAATTCGAAAAGGAACCGGAAAGTGTTCACGTCACCAAAGAACACTATCGTCGCGACGGGTTTGGACAACAATCCCCACTCTTTCATTGTCTGCTCTTGGAAGATCATTCATCATCGCCGCCATATGTGTGTGGCATGGCATTTACCTATTTTGGCCACTCCTTTGGTCAAGGTCGCTTTTTGTATTTGGAAGACTTGTACATGGAGGAACCGTACCGTGGAAAAGGGGGTGGGACGATGGTCATGCAAACCCTACAAGACATTGCCCAATCTACAGACTGTGTACGAGCCGTGTGGCAAGCCCTGGATTGGAACACTCCCGCCTTGACATTCTACAACAAGATTGGTGCTGCTGTCCAAGAAGGTCTGATTACGTCCAGGTTTGCCGGGGAAAGCCTGCAAAAGTTCTACAAGGAGCGAAAGGATTACTAAAAGTAAGTAGCTTGCTCTACTCTTTCCTACATCGACACCTACATGTATCATCTTTTCTGAGCAGTACAGAGGTAGATCCATCTTGTGTCTGCCCTCTCACATCATGTTGGCGTGTATCGTATATTGTCGCCAGTTGTCGTTGTGGATTGTTGTTTTGTCTTTGACACAGTACGAGTAGTCTTAGCTACTTCCTCCCTTTTTTCGTTTGCCGAACATGTCTCCGAAAAGCTTCTTACTAATATCACCAAACTGATAATCGTCCTTGCCGGTAAAATTGGACACCGCCTTTTTGGTTATGTCACCGAAAACGTAGTTCTCAGCTGCTTCTTCACCCAAATGCTGTTTGACCCATTCCTGTCGTCTCGTCTCAACCTCTCTCGAAACGTCCCCAAATTCATATGGTTTGCCCGTAAAATCTGCCACACGTTCTTTGATTCGTCGGTCCATTTCGGCGCTCAAATCACCAAATTCATAGGTTCCTGGTTCCTTTCCGGCAAACTCTGTCACTGCTTCCTTGACACGACGGTCCAGTTCAATGGACAAATCACCGGGTTCGTAATCTATAATGATTTGAAAGAAGAAATATATAAATCCAATACGTGAGTATCGTTTCGTTTCACACAAGACCATCTCCTGGCAAAAATCTCCAGTGGAACAACTAACTGTACTGTACCTTTTCCTGTGAGTTCTTCCGTCATTGATTTGCTCACTTCATCCATGGCCAAGACAAAATCACCAAGCTCGTATTCTGCGATGCAAGAGAAGGTAATATTGGTATAACATATAGTTAGCTGAACAAATGTCTGGATACTCTTTGTTCATGGGGAGATATACATGAAAATGCAACTTACCATCCTTTCCTCGAAACTTGGCCACTTCATCCTTGACACGGGTGTCAATTTCCTTGCTAATGTCTCCCATTTTGTATTCGTCCTTGCCGAGAAAGTCACGGGTATTCTTTTTCATGTCTTCCACAATAGATACACGGACCAATTCGGACAGTTCCATGGACAACCCTTGCCATTCGTCATCGGCCACCAGGTTTCCCACCGCCTCCTCCTTTTGTTCGGCGGATAACGCATCGAATTCGGCATTAATGGCAGATTCTGCTTCTTGTTCGTTCTTCTCTTCCGCCTTTAAAGAAACAGTGCGGCTAGTACCGGTAGGGGCCGCCACATGCCGAGCAATGGAAGCAGGTCCTACTGTGAACGCACAAGAGCTACCCAAGAAGAGGGTCAAAAGAGGGATAGACAGACGCATTCTTATTAATTTCAGTTTTGTTTCAGAGTCGGGTAATAGAAGATAAGTGCGCTGTAGCGGGAAGACTGAGCTCCAACGACACTCCGTGGAAAGGAAAAGACCATCGACAAAGCCTTCGAAGGTGGGATCGGATCATCGCGAAAGCAAAATCAAGATTCGGTATCTTTGATGTCAACTCTCCGCGAACACGTCATTGCTATAATCCAGATCCATTGTGCGTCCTGAATAAAATTATTGCATTCTTGCGGACCAATTTTCACTCCCGTCCAGCTCCCGAAACCACTCCACAAATTTCGCCTCCCATGACAAAAACGTTCAGCATTGGTCTCCGCTTTCATGCTCGAGATCCAATGGCCACAATACATTGTCATCCAGCACTTTCCTCTTTGTGGTTGCATTTTAGCTTGCCTCTTGTCATCGTCTTACTCAACGAGATCAACCGAACCCTCCAGTCACAACAATGGGACTGTTTGACAAGAACACCAACACGCACCCCAATCTGAGCAAGCTGCAAGATGTGAAACGAACGCTGACATACCATGGATGGGAAATTGATTTTCGGGATGCCCTGGATGCTCACAAAGAACGAGACTATTCGGTCGACTTTCCCAAGGCGCTGCGAAAACTAAAGGTGAAACAAAAGCTTCACGAAAAGGATCGCTCGCATCCTCGTTTGGTGGCACTCGATGCCATTGTTGTAAAAGGCTTGACGTATCCCGGTTGGGAGGCCGATGTTCGTCAGCTGGAAACGATGCACTGTGAAATCCCGTATATCGCACGCTCCGATATAGCATTCAACAACAAACTACGAGGTTTGGAGTTTAGTCAACAAATGTACGAACAAACTGGAACAGTCGAAAGCACCACGGCCGCAGAATCATTTGGAATAACCGCCACTATCGAAGAACCAACCTCGTCAAGATCGGACAAGACGCATGGTCCATTCGGGGCGTGTGTCATTTGTGGAGACGAAGCAAGGTCTCATGCGTTCGTTCCTTGCGGACATCTCTGTGCCTGTCGGGAATGCTCCCCCAAAGTCATGCGGCGAGATCGTCGGTGCCCCGTATGCCGAGGCAGCTGCGCGGGAACAGTTCAGATCTACCTCTAGCCAGATAGTACCGGTACAGATTGGGTTGTATCGTTGCATGTCCATGGTTAGAAATTGCAGTGAGGGAGCTGGTCGAAAGAATACCACCACAGCCAGCGTCACTTGCAACAAATAGTAGAAATTGTTAAACAGTCTACGAGATCTCTTGCGGCATGTTGAATGGCATGGCGCCAGCAGATCTTGCTGGTGTGTCTCGAAAAAGAAGCAAGACAAACCAGTCCTCTTTTAGGTCCTAGTAGTCAAAACGCTTGTGGAATTTAGATGACATGATCATTCCAAAGTTGGTGAGAAAGGTTTGAAGGATTCCAATCTACATGTAGTATGATCTATCTGTCCTTGGTTCTGGCCGACTGGCTCTGGCCCAGGCCGTGTGTGCCTGGCTTTGATTATTATTTGGTCTTATCTGACACTACAGTAGCTATCTAGCTACCGGTAGATATCAACTCGGAGTACAGAGTAGCTAGATAGCCAGTGTCACTTGCTCTTCGCAACCTTCAAGTTGAATCGAATGGCCCCATCGCCCCCTTTTCAGGCCACGATAGCTTTGTTTGCTTCTACTGTAAAGTCTACTCTTATGACGGTTCAAAAAATAACATCATTGCCACACAAACTCTTAGAAAGCGTACATGAGAAGGCCTCGGTATGAGAAGGCTGCACGAGCGAAAACATACTACTAATAATACTGTAGTAGTTTTACCCGTCGTACTTGAGAAGGGGATCCGCTGCAACCCATTCTCACCCATAGTGCCCTGCTTGCGCCCTTGATTGCCTGCCTTGCGTTCCTGCGTCGTGCCCCCCTTGACCTCTGTCTCCGTCCTCCTCTTAGCTCTCTCTAATCCATAGTAAACCCGATTCAATTCTCACCCATAGTCCACTCCACCCATCGCAACCTCAAAAGAATTAACCAAGAAGGCAATACGAGTGATTTCCCTTTAGTCCGTCTTTACTTGAACCAAAACAGCGATGCTACAAAACCACTCCATTGTCGACGCGTCGTCGTCGTCAGCCAGCTTCACCAGTAGTAACCTGCTGGCTGGCTACTAGTAGGTAGAAACCCACCTTTATCCAGAGCCTCCGCAGTTACCTCAGCAGTCTGACATATTCCAACCACAAGGCCAACTGGCACCACGTAGAGAGGCAGCAACAGGCAGGATGAAAAAGGATCTAGTAGAAGATCATGAGAATGAGACACAAGCAGAGGCCAAGGCAATGGCAAAAGAACCACAACAGGAGACGGCGGGCGTTCCTCATGACAGCAACAAGGAGTCCAAGATGGAGATTCTTGATAACGCCAACACTATTTCCAAACCAACGGCAACTGACAATGTTGTGGCAAAACCAGAAACAGTAGACTCCACTTTAGAGGAAGATGGCATTTTAAAGGAGACCTTCTCACCCGGCAAACAAGAGGAGATTCCTGCACCATTTGACTGTGAGACAGCCATGGTATCAGCGTCCACAGTGGCGGAGCCCTTAGAATTGCGGAGGGATGTGAGACGGCGACAGCAGGTAACTCTTCCTGGAGCATACATGGGGGCACTGGGAGAAGATTTGCAACGCACAACAACTCTGAATTATGACCTGGTCCGTGCTGGGATGGACAATTCTACACCCATGCAAATGCCCCGCATAGCTCATAGTACCTGTACTAGTGGTGCGCAACTGGCACAAGCAAATCTTGTAGAATATGATGACACTGGCAACTTGATGCATGCCAATCCATTCGATCTGGAAGCTGCTCAGCGTCGGCAACAAGAACGGAAGAGTCAAAAGCAAATTGGAATTGCCGCACTGATTTGGTTGCTACTGCTTGCGGGCATTATTGTCGGGTTTGTGGTTGGAACCCAAAAACAAAAGGAGCCAGAGGTTGTCATTTCCACAGAGACACCCACTTCCTATGGTTCTATGGAACCTTCCGAAGTGCCATCGTCTGCCCCCACAGGTGTTTTTGATTGGCTTTTGGATAACCTACCAGAGTACACCTTGGCCAGCATCAATGATGGAAGTAAAGCCCCCCAATGGAAAGCATGGAATTGGCTTGCCAATCATCAAAATGTCACATTTCTTCCAGAGTGGAGGAAAATGCAACTCTTTGCTCTTGCTACGTTCTTTTATGCTTTCGAGGGAGAAAATTGGAACCCTCTCATAAAGGAGCGGTGGATGGATGAAAGAAAGGGGGAGTGTGAGTGGTTCTCCAGTGGATTTGGGACTTTCTTCCAAGGATACTACTTTCCAACACCAGACTCCTTAAAAGTTGACTCCTGTGATGGCCATGGGCAATTCACCTCTCTTTGGCTATCAGGCCTCCAACTTCCATCGGGGTTGACACCTGTGGTTCCACCCGAGATGGAACTCTTGACTTCCCTGTCCCACTTTGCTTTGCATAATGTTGATATTGCAATGGCATTGTCTGATTTGCTACCAACTGCATTCTACGAAATGTCTGCCTTAACTTCTTTGGAATTTTTCAATGATCGGCTCAAAGGCAGCATTCCTACTGCATTCTACGAAATGTCTTCCTTAACTTCTTTGAGGTTGGCGGCAAATCAGCTCACTGGCACAATTGCGACAGAGCTTGCTATGCTGGATGCTTTGACTATGCTTCGATTGAATTCCAATCAGTTCACAGGCCAGATTCCAACAGAACTCGGGCAAATGACTGCTTTAGACCGAATTGATTTGGGGTTTACTGAATTGTCAGGTCAGATTCCTACTGAGCTGGGATTACTGACAGCTCTGACAGAAATCTTTCTTCGTTACAATCTGCATACTGGCCAAATCCCAACTGAAATTTGGCTGTTGTCCTCTTTAAAAGTTCTCAAATTGGATGGTAATGGTTTGACAGGTCAAATTGCAACAGAGTTGGGACAGCTCAGCTTTCTGAAAAACCTTGGGCTATGCCAAAATCAGTTCAAAGGGAAGATCCCATCAGAGCTTGGATTGTTATCATCTATGCGAGAGTTTGCTACTGGAAAAGGCGGTATTTGGATATGGGGGAATCAGCTCACAGGACAGCTGCCTACAGAGCTGGGACAGCTGTTGTCTTTGCAATTACTATTTTTTCAGGAAAATGAATTGACAGGTCAGATTCCTGCAAATTTCTGGTTGCTGACCAATTTGTTGACTTTTCATGGTTCTGGAAACTCCCTTGGTGGATCCTTACCAAGTGTCATTGGACTGTTAACATCACTGGAGAGGCTTGAGCTTTCCAGCAATCTTATGACTGGAACGCTTCCGAGTGAGGTTGGCTCCCTGCCATCGTTGAGCTCCTTATGGCTTCAAAACAACTCCCTGACAGGAACACTTCCCCAGGAGCTGAATTCCACCGGGTTTTTTGAACTCAGGCTTGAGGGGAATGACTTCTCAGGGATTGTTCCAGAACACCTTTGTTCATTTCTGTGGTGCGATTATTGTTCCACAAATGATTCTTCGCCTGTGTCGACCTGTGTGAACCTGCAGGGAATCCCAGACTGGCCTGGAAGGTTTCCACCCAGGTGTTTTGAAAGATGCGCCAACAACATTGTGCTCAACATACAAACTGACATGCAACCCGTTCACATTTCTTGGAGTTGGCAGAAGGCAACAAGTGTGACTGGAGTTTGGAACCAACTGGAAACATGGAGTGGGAATTTTAGAACTGTACTCGGGCGTTTCCTGTACTCCTTCATTCTTGATGCTATTCCAAACACAGTGCATCAGCTTGTTGTATCCGATGGAATGGGCGATGGCCTTTCTGATGACTCTTCATTCGATTCTGGCGATTTGGTTACAGGTACCGGTAGTTACCCAGGTTGGATTACGCTGACTGCAGCCAATGAAACAGTGCTCTTTTCCTTTGGCAATGATGCTTTCTCTCAATTGATAGTGGATGTTTTGGTTGGACCTGATGGATCTGTCCAAATCACAAATACCACAACTGTCTTAACCGATTGCCGTGGTAACTGCACAACCAGTGTCACTGGGTATTTTTGGCCTCCGTCACCCTGACGACTTGACTTGCCCATATATCAAGAACCATCCATAGATAGACAACAAATGAATACTCTACATCTCCTCTTTCTCACTCTACCCTTGCTTTGATTGTGGCATCTACCTACTAGTTGCTAGATTAAGCCTGTGTTGGAGGGAGGAACATTCCCATACCGTAGGTGGGTTGGTGAGAAAGATCTGAACAAAGATTCGATTCTACATGTACCTGGTAGTGATTTGCTGCATGTACATGTTTAACTTGAAGTGCAAGTTACCGTATCGGTATCATGTTTTATGAAATCCACCCGAGCGAGATCCAGCACCTCCGCCATACTCAGAGTACATACCGATACAGATAGCGGGTACTCAGTAATAGTTAGTACATGTAAAATCTCCTCAAAATCCAGACAACTCCTCTTTGTCCAACGTCTCCTCATCTGCAAGCCTGTCAAATTTGAATCGAATGTTGGAGAGAGGAACGGCACCATAGTTGCGAGAATGATCAATCATATGATATTTCTGTGTTGTCGCCAACTAGTCAGCAGGGCTCAGAAGGGATCTTGACTTGCTCTCCTCTGAAAGTTGCGGCATCGCCTTCAAGCCCCTGGATTCGTTTTGCCACAAGGGTAGTCTCCCAGCTGTCGTTGTTCGATGGTCGTTCAGAAATAACCGCAACTACGATGTCGCCAACCTTCAGGTCCTGCACAGTGAGCTCCGGCTTTCCTGACCGAACCGCTACTGGAATGCCCCAGTAGAAGCACTCTTCTGGTAGTGTCGGGAGCATACTCCTGCCCAATCCATGCCTTACTGGTAGCCTCGAATGTTCCATCTGAAACAAGATTCGCGCTTTTCATCTTGGAATTGATTTCGCTCTTTCTGTCATTTCTTCGAGTAGAACCTTGTCTATCCTATCAATCCTTGAACCCAATCTTTCTTCTTTGTGCAGTCTTTCGAGTTCTTCCTGTATGGCATCCTGTATCGGTTGCCTCTTGACTTCCTCGTACAAGGTTTTGAAAAAGTTTGGGTCGCTCTTTAAAGCCTTCAAGATCCGCTTGTACCAACCCAAACCGCCTTTGAATTTTGCAGCCGTGGGGCCAATTGCCCGAGTGAGCTCGTACATTGTTGGCCTCCCTTCCATGATTTGCTTCAGATTGAAGGAAACACGATGTTTCACCAACTCTGGCATCTTGTCAATGTCTTCTCTCAGCTTCTTCCTCATCTTTTTGAGGCGTTCCTGTCCTTCTTCCCACGAGATGCACACGCTGGGGCCAGCTTCTATAGTTGGTGCCAGCCGAAGCTTTCTTGTGCCGTCTTCATTGTAGTTTGCCCGGAACTCTTCCAACTTCTCTTTCGTAGATTTGCCTGGAGGACGGTCAAACTTTGAATTGCGTCGAAAGTGCCGAGTTCTATTTTTCAGGCAAGGGGGGGGGTGGGGTCGGTGTCGCGATGCGGCGCAAGGACGTGGAGTTCCAAGATGCCAAAGACGCCTCCATTCGTGTACCCGTAGCGACCAATCGTACCCCCCTCGAGAGAGACGGAGAGATAACTGAAGCATGGCGAAGTAGCATGGAGAGAGACTCGTCCGAATCAAATGTTCCCTTGTTTGCTTTCCATTACATGGCCTGCCTTGAAAGTAGCAGCGATCTTTTTCAGGTTTTTGTGTGAACTAACGTAACAGGGTTAGAGTTGTTGAAAACACTGCTGCGTCGAGTTTGGTCTAGCTACTAGTAGTCGCTATGCATAGCTATGCCATGGCAGTCTTGAAGCAGATATGGAAGCCTTTTGCGGTACTACATGTATGGGAGATGGGAGCACCAAGCTTCCCCCCCAGTCCAAACCGACGGTAGATTTGTGGGCACCGTACGACCCGGCTTCCGAACCATTTTGGAAGGCCGACTCTCGAATCAAAGGTGAAGTTTGCCCACAGCGCGTTGCCTTGCATGGAGAGTCGAGTCGAGCCACCGTAGCGGGACGCGCGTCCATGGCGAGATATCTCAAGAGTCATTTCTCAAGATGCACAGCAACAATCTCCACATTGAAGCTACCTGGTACTGTACGGTACCTGCCACTGAAGTTGCCTCGTCGAACGAAGTCTGATACGAAGATAGCACTCAGTAATAAAGGAGGAAAGACTGTTCTCTGAAGGCAAAGAGAAGAGAACACACAACTGTCCTTGTGCAGCTGCACAGCCGCAGTTTTGGCTGAGCCGAAACTCTATTACGTCTTACCAACCAACCACGCGTCATCTAACGGTATGAGGCTCTGACTCGATCTTCTCTTTTTCGTGCTGGAAGCACGGAGTTCATTGCCACAGAGACCATACACGTACACCGTACCGGTACCGGTAGCTCTACCGGTACCGGTACGTCTTACAATTGTACCTAGTAGACAGCAAGGAAATGCATTGGATTGAATCATTCATAGCATCGGCACGGTTTGAGCAACAAACGAACAAGCACTTTGATTGCCTTCACACGCCCATGCTAGCATGGGGCGGACAGGAACCCACTTGCCACGAAGGATGAGCCATCCATGGAGCGCTATAAGACCTTGCTGATAGCTGCTGAGCTAATGCTGATACCGGTACCGGTCAGTGACGACTGCCCCCTCTACGATCCTGCTCTTTCGACCCTTGATCCTTGAAGCATACTCTACTGGTAATCTAGCTAGACTAGCCATTACGAGCAGCTATCACTTTCTCGAGCATGTTTGGAGCAAATCTCTGTGTCGTCCATGTGATCTCCGTCGTCCGTGTTGTAGGTACGTACTGGTAGCTCCTGTGACCACCCACCACCCTGCCATGCCTGTGCCTTTTTGTGTTGTACATGTAATGTGACTGAACTCCTCTTTTGTCCAGATCATCGATCGTCAAACTGCGCTTATTGCCTCTTGCCACGAATGAATTAGAAGCTGGTTGATGAAGTTAAATCCTTGGTTAACTCTGAAAGCAGGCTGCGAAGTCTATCGACAACTACTGTGTCTGATCTCATGATCTCATGAGCTCTCTCTTATACTGTACCGGTACTACACTGTAGTACGACTGTGGAGCCCGTGCTAGTATCTGGTTAGCATACATACATGTAGCTAGCTGGATTGGCACCGGTACCATAGTACCATACCATACCGTACCGTACCAGTAGATCTACCGGTACATGTCGTCAGTCGTCAGTTCGTCAGTTCGCAGTTTCTGTTCAAAGGATTTACTAGCTTGTAACCCGTTCACTCTGATTGAGGTGTACTACTTAGTAGTAGCTGCAATTGTGTACCGGTTGCTCACAGTTGACGTTTCTTTTCTTTGAAGCAAAAGGCTCTCAAGGTCCTGGGGGGTGCCTCAAATCAACCATACGTATCTCAAGTTTTCCCGCACCATCGCTGAAAGATTGAGTTACGGTGGTTGAGAGCGGTAAGAGGTGGTAAAAGGCGGTCGAAGGTGGTAAAGAAGGTGGTAAAGCAGGCGGTAAAACAGTCGGTTGCAGGCGGTAGAAGGCGGTAGAAGGCGGTTGAAAGTGGTAAACTGTACTCAGAGATGGTCAAAGGTGTCGCCGGAAATGGTAAGTTGGTTTGAGCCACCCCCCAGCCTGTCTGTGAAAGATTTTAGATCCAAGCATCCATGCAGGGTTACTCGGCATTTTGTCTGTTTGGGAAAGTGTTTTGGCGATTAAGTGATTTTTATGTAAATGTCTACACACCAGTTAGTAGACTTAAGTAGACAAAGTAGACATTGTGCGACTTTAGGAGACATTAGTAGACAAAGTGATACATTGTGAGACATTGGTAGACAAAGTGAGACATTGTGAGACATTGTGAGACATTGGTAGACAAAGTGAGACATTTTTGTACTGTTTTACTGTACTGTGTAGACAAAGTGAGACATTGGTAGACATAAGCAGACAAAGTGATACATTGTGAGACATCTGGAGACATTGTGAGACATTTGTAGACATTGTGAGACATCCGTAGACATTGTGAGACATAAGCCACTTTTACAAAGGAGCATAGAACATTTAGGCAACTCTGTAATCAGATACAATAGCCTTAAATAGACAAAATGCCGAGTAAGAGAGCCCCTGAAACGCACGCGGTTGTATTATACGTATAACATTTTCACTATGTATTCTACAGATTATACGTATTACACATATAACATTTTTAATATGTATTAAACAAGTTATACGTATAAAACACAGATAACACAAGTGGAACAATATTATACGTATTACATGTATTATGTGTTGTACGTATTTGACGTATTACATGTATTATGTGTTATACGTATTTTACGTATAATACACAGCGACGAATTTTTGCTAAGTTTTTTTGCCAGGTGTTTTCTTAGCAAGGTGTTTGCCAGGTGTTTGGGAGGCAGAAAGGAAGATGCACTGTTGCAGGCCATAATACCTGACAGCTTATCAAGTAAAATGGACTCTTACCTATCTGAACTCTCTCATGTTGCTAGATACAATATCATGATGAAGAATGGACTCCTGCTTCCATCATTGTGAATGTAGCAACCTCACTAGCTGATGATACGCCAAAGGAGATAAACATATGGATACTCTGGGGTTCGATAATTATCGAATGGAGAAATCGACGGTGTATTGGCTACCTTCGATGTATCAATCTGTGATCCGGCGCATATTAAAGAAGTTTTGATGCATACTTTGTACTTCCTTCAAGACTGCTGGATTCCGCATCAAAAACAAGGGATTTGATAAGAGGCGGAATCACATTACCATATGTTGTCCAAGGAGTCTTTTTACAAACAAAGGTCCCAAAAGGACAGCAACAAAACCACCCAGACTCAGCTTCCTGTTGAGGGGGAGGGTGTCAAATGTCCATTCTCTTTCAATGTTCTATATAGCCAGGACACAGACGATGGTATCTACCCAAGTTCCAGACAGGCAACAAGCTTCATCGTGGCCATGTACAACTAGAAGAGGCACAAGTGAAAGTGTTAAGTACTCATCTTGGCACAGAAGCCGTTACACTAGCGGAACAATGCCTAAAGAACCACCTCTCGCCAAGTGTTGTTAAGACTTTACTTTATGAACGACAGGCTCATCTCTAACTTCGAAACAAATCGAATCTCTAAGGAAGAGTTTGCATCAAGGAGTTGTCTTGTCTTTGGTGAAGCCAGACGGTACCATCTCTCAAGTACCGCATCAGGGGGCGACAGCTGCAGACAGGCTACTTGCCCGATTGCAATCGGACCCAACAAAATCGTTCGTTGTCCTATTTGCCTCATATGACTCCGGCCTTCTTCGAATCAGAAATCACATAGGGGAGCCACACCTCAGAACATTGATCCTGAATCACTAACAGATGAATCGGACAGTGCTGAATCCTTTGCGAACAAAGTAAGAGACGCTCTATCCATCACAGGTTCTGGAATGATTTTGCTTGCACTTGCCTGGACGGGTGAAAGTTCCCAGAGATTGTTCCAAATGTATCCCGAGTTCAAGTCTGGTGATATCACCTACAAAACAAACTCCGAAAAGAGGGAATTGCACATAGAGTCTGGGATAGCTGCCGATGGCAGTCTTTCAGCCACACATGGGCATTGTTCCCATGTGCTTCAAAGTGGATATTCCAGTGGTTCTACCGAAATGCCATGCCCCGACTTCATTCGGCCAAAACTCTGTCGAGAGTAGAAGTGGCTGCTTATGATGAAGACGAGAAGTGTTACATGATTTCCAACAACAGACCGGTGTTGGCAAACCATTCTCAAATGCTGTAGTTCAGCTTTGTAATTGGCACAAGCTGAACAGAAATCTTACCAAATCATCCAAATTCAAATCCATCATTGCACAATTGACAGAGACTGACGATGTGATTGAGTGGGAGATGATCGTGTCTTGGCTATGGAAATTTGCCCGATATCAGACAAGAGAAGAAGCGGATTTGTCTCAGCAGATGCTCATGCATTACCTTGACGAAGACGAGGATCTCCACAGAGGAAGATTGGGGGGAGAACTGATAGAAAAGCTGAAGGTTTTCCTGGTAGAGTTTTTCTTCCTAAAAAAGGACTTATTTTTCGGTTACCACCTACAAACTAAAGCACATTTTGGGCAAATCACAAGTACGATAAGTGAAGTCGAGAATGCTGCAATGAAAGGGGATTCAATGGGTCCGAAGCCTTACCATGACATCGACTTGTCACAGCAAAGTATCGAGAAACGTGACGCAAGAAGAAACCGTGAAAAGGAAATGGCGGCTGCCCATAATCTGACCGCAACACATACTGACATTGCAGACATCGCACACGGGTAATACGTATAATACAGGTAATACGTATAATACAGGTAATACGTATAATACAGGTGATACGTATAACACGGGTGATATGCATAATACATGTTACATCTGTTACACGTATAACACGGGTGATACATATAATACACATTACATGCATAACACGTGTTACACGCGTAACATGTATAACACGTGTTGCGCGCTGACTGAGGTACTTACATGGGTTCAGTACTGGTCCCTACAGAAAGTGGTTGACAATGGAAAGTGGTTCACAATGTAGAATTCAAGGCCAGATCTTCCACAGGCTTCGTCAGTGAGCCTTCAGAAGTATATGAATGCAAAGAGAATGGTCCTGTGAGCTTGACAAAGCCTGATAAAGAGAGTGGGGGCAGGAGAATGAAGAAGGAGTTGAATGGAGAGAAATCCTTCTATCTTTCCACAGAAACAGTCTTCTTGGCTTCAACAAAGCCATACCACATTGCCTACTTACCCACAATGATGGTACTATCTTCAAATAACAACAGAAACCTCTGTATCCTTCAAACAAACAAGAGGAGAGAGGTTTATCTCATGGTGTGTGTTGTGGAGATTGGTGGAGATTGGAGATTGGTGGAGATTGGTGTTGAAGCCATTTTGCGAACGGTCATTCGAACGGTCACGGAGGCTGGCTGGCGACCGTGTAATACGTGTAATACGTATTATACGAGAATACGTAGAATACGCATTGTACGTATTACATGTATTACATCGCGTGCGTTTGAGGGTCTCTCAGTAATCACTAAATGTGAAACAACTATGTCCATTGATCAAAAAAGCCCACAATCTTCTGAAAAGATTCCGATCGACACTTCCAGCGGCAGACTTATCGCGTCGAACGATAGTGACGACAGCTCCACCTGCAACAGTTTTGTGTTGATTGAGGAGGAGCCAATACAATACCTCAGGAATTCATTCTTTAGCCCACCATGAACCCACCGAATAAAGATAACGTCAAACCAAACTTCCGAGTTGGTGCTCGAGAGGAGGAAGAAGAAGAGATTCTTTCGATCGACGCTCTCGGAAGGAATGGACAAGATTGTGGCCCCGTAAAGGATGATGGCGAGAAAGCCGACAGTCCATCTTCAGAGGATCCAGAGAAATCTGGGGCTAAGGCCGTGCCGACTACAACCGGCTTGAGCGTCGTCCATTCGGGAGCAAGGAATGCCGAGCGCGAATTGCTGGAATCAAAAGGCATCCTGTTCCGACCACAGCCAGAAATGACGTTGAGTGACGCCGATGCAATGAGTGCCAATGAAACAAGCGCCAGTAGTCAAGACAGTGCTGCACCCACTGCTGCGAAGCAACACAGAGCTAGCTTCAGCGCAATAAATGCAGAACGCACCATGATGGAATCGAAAGCTTCGCTGTTCCTTACAGACGTCGTCGTGAATGACGAAGACAACATGCCGTACCCCGCTGCCATGCAAAATCGGATCTGCTCGGGGGCGCGGAATGCCGAGTCAACCTTGATGGCAGTCAAAGGTACCGTGTTTGTCCGCACACCACCCCTTACGGAAAATGTGGCCACTGTGGTACCGGACGATCCGAACGCTTCCAGTGAGGACAGTTGTGTCCTAGGTGACGCACAAGAAACTGCTCCTGCCCTACCAGAGCTTCACAGAGATGAGATTATGCTCCCTACGAGACAACCTGGTGCTGTTGCTGTTGCAGGAATGAACAACAGCAGCGATGATGCTACGTTAATGATTGGGCTGGAAGAAGGCACCAGCAATGGACGACCCAACAGTGGCACTGTCGATAATACCAGGCAATCGAGTGACGAAGATTCGGCAGCACAACTCTTCGTTGCAACATTGGTGAATGAGAGAGAGCCTGGAGAGGTTGTGGAGGCCAAACCAGCATTGGAAGGATTTCAGGCTTTGATCCATAACAGGCGCTTCAAGTACGTGGTGGGAATCCTCTTTGTACTCATTGTTGCCAGTTTGGTGCCACTTGTTGTCGTCACCACCAGAGAGGCAGAGCTACCGCTTGAAGCCACGTGCGGAACCCGAAGTAACCGTCAAGCAGACTACCGTGGCACCTTAAATGTAGCCGCAAGTGGCTATGCATGTTTGCAATGGAGTGAAACACACAATCGACCCGATAGGCCAGACAATTTCCGTATCGAGAATTATGGTTCTGCTGGCCTTGAGGAGAACTATTGCAGGTATGTGGCGACGCTTGAGAGTTCCCTTTTTACAGTTGCAACCTCAGAGTCTCACTTGTTACTGCCAACAAATCTACAGGAACCCAAATAATCAGGAGAGGTAGGCTACGAAAGATGAGATGCAATTATTGTATTTGGGAAAGTTGAATCTGATTGATGGCTTGCTTTCTTTAAATGGGGCGTTTGCTTACTTTCTAGAGCATGGTGTTTCACCAATGAAAATAGCAACGAGCAGGTACGCATTTCTTTCTCCGACTGCCATGGAATTTTTTGATTCCCAATCTGTCTTGGCATCTAACCTGTTTGCATCTTGCCTGGTTCATGCCGCGCACAAAAGTTCTGTGATGTGCCCTATTGTGAGGAGGAGTTGAAATTGAATACAACGTGTGGAACCAAGGAACATCGCTTTACTGACTATCGTGGGCCCATAAATGTTACCATTGTGAGTTGTACACGTTTTGCTGCCGTGTCATTCTTGCACCTGTGGAAAGTTCTTCCAGGTGTTCCTCTTTAGTGCTCAATCTTACCCATCTCCTTTCTCCGATCTATAAGCTGGCTTTCCATGCCAGAGATGGGATGCACAGGAACCAAATTCACATGACAGGACATCCAAAACTAGACCCAATTCTGGTCTTGAAGGCAATGAGTGCCGCAACCCAGACTATAATGTGAGAACGAAACACTGCTGGATCATCTTATTGAGCCTGGCCTGTTGATCATTTTACTAAGCTTGTACTGTTCTGTTCCCCCCTTCCAAATGGAATTCATCGTGAAGAAAAATGGTGCTTGGTGCTACAAGGATGTAAGGGTGCGCGGGCCCAATGGAACGATGGTGACACCACCTGGGTCATGGTCAACAATTTGGGAGTATTGTGATGTACCAGAGTGTGGAGTAGAGATAGAGGAAAAAGAAGAAGTGCAATTTGAATGTGTGAACTGCACAGCGTTTGAGTGTGGAAACTACAGCATTAGCCAAAGCGACTACAGGGGTGCCATCAATATCACCGAGTCTGGCCGCGAATGCCAGCCATGGTCCTCTCAATTCCCCCATCTGCATGACTTCACACCAGAGAACTACCCAGGAGCTGGTTTGGATGGTAATGCTTGCCGAAATCCGGACCCATCAGGAGCTGCCATACAAGTAAATCGTGCATTTTGTTTGACTAATGATCCTGACAGGCGTTTTGAAAAGTGTTTGGTACCAGCTTGTGTCCATGAAGGATACATTGACTATATCACCGAAACGGAAAGCGGCTTCGAAATGAATGCACAAGACGTCAACTCACCCTGGTCTTTTACGTGTGGAACTATGGCTCTCCGTCAGCAAGGTATGTGACCAATTTGCTTGCTGACTTTTCTCCTAACTTGAAGCTCATCCTAGAACTTCTCCCTTGGAGTAGACTACAGGTATGTGGGATCTTGGGTCTCTGGAAGCACGTTCCAAATTAAATTCAACTAATGCTGCTCTTGTGGTTCATGCTTTGTTGTCAATGTAGAGGGAACATCTCTTGGACAGCACAGGGTATTCCTTGTCAAAGGTGTGTTCATAAACTCTTCTTGTGAAATGATCCAATCAGTTCTCGGCACTTAATTATACGGATGTAAACTTCCTGCAAAGATGGGATTCGGATGAGCCCCATGGCCATGTCAACAGACCAGAGGAACGTCCAGGCAAGGGACTTGGTGCACACAACTACTGCAGGTACGTTGTATGTTCTTTGCCGGATTGTCTCTGGCTTCTCTACCCCAGCTAACAATACTATGTCGGGCTCATGTCTCTGCAGGAATCCAGGTGCAGACGAAAGGGTAGGTTTGGGTTTTTGAACCATCTGTCCATGATGCTTCTTGCTAATGTTGATGTTAATGTGCTCTTCTTCAGGCTTGGTGCTACACCACAAGTGATACAGTCCGATGGGCATACTGTGACGTACCGGCTTGTGAGCATGATGGAGAAGAACCCAGTGACCCGATATTACAGAATACATGTGGGACCATGTCCATGCGCCAAACAGACTACACTGGAAAAATAGCATACACCAAAAATGGCTTTACTTGTCAAAGGTTTGTAGTTCTTGTGGTTTGTCCATTCCATGCAAAGATTTTGAGGCGCAGAAGCTTAGTGTGTGTTCTTCTTTTTCATTCAAGATGGGACACACAAGAGCCAAATACACATCGAAATACACCTGAGACAAAACCATTTGGAAATCTTGAGGAGAACTATTGCAGAAATCCTGACAACGAACCTGATGGAGCTTGGTGTTATGTAAGTTACCAGTGCTGTTGATTGCTGAAAAGAACTGCTGGTTATTAATCGTCTTCTATATTTTGTTTCAGGTTGCTGACCCAGAAGGTCCACGCTGGGAGTACTGTCCTGTCCCTAGCTGCCCAGAGGAGGTGGTGGAAGTCACATATTCAGAGTCTTGTGGTACTCATTCTCTTCTACAGCAAGATTATATTGGTGACATATCACAAACCATCAGTGGCCTCCCCTGTCAGAGGTAAGAACTTCTCTGTGCTTTTTCTTGACGCCCACATGGATCAATGTACTCACGCTTCCTCTCTCTTCTCAAGGTGGGATGCTCAGGCCCCCAATGCACATCAACAGACACCAGAAAACAAACCTACTGCACATCTTGAGAGCAACTTCTGTCGTAACCCTGATGGAGAAATTGGTGAGCGTTGTAAACAGAACAGCTATTTCAATCTTCCTCGTTTACGGAGCAACACAACTAATCTTTCATGTTCCCCACTACCTGTCCTGTGAAGGTGGCGCCTGGTGCTACAACCAGAACTTCCCCGAAGGACCTCGTTGGGAGTACTGTTCTGTTCCCAAGTGCGAAAACGAAAAAGCTGAAGAAGAAGACGAAGAAGCTGCTTCTGCATCTCAAACTTGTGGCACCTTGTCCATCATGCAAACTGACTATGCTGGTGACATTTCAACCACTGAAAATGGCTATGAATGCCAAACATGGGATTCGCAATCTCCAAATGAACATGGCAATACACCAGAAGATAAACCAAATGCACATCTCGAGAGCAACTTTTGCAGGAACCCAGATGGCGAAGCTCGGGCATGGTGCTATGTAAGGCCCTGCTGGGAGATACTATATTTTGATCCAGAAACACGCTCACCTGCAATTTTCTTGGTTCTCTTGTAGGTTGCTGACCCGGATGGACCCCGCTGGGAGTTCTGTTCCATTCCATCTTGTGTGGCTGATGAGGATGATGTACAGGAGGAAGCTCCCACATCCCAGACTTGTGGAACTCTGTCCCTGCTACAGGCTGACTACGTTGGTGGCATTTCAACCACTGACAATGGCAACGAATGCCAACGCTGGGATTCACAATCTCCAAATGCCCATGGCAATACACCAGAAGACAAACCAAATGCACATCTTGAGAGCAACTTTTGCAGGAACCCAGATGGTGAAGCTCGTGCCTGGTGCTATGTAAGGCCCTGCTGGGAGATACTATAAATTTTTGATCCCAGAAACACTCTCACCTGCTGTTTTCTTGGTTCTCTTTTGTAGGTTGCTGACCCAGATGGACCTCGCTGGGAGTTTTGTGCCATTCCGTTGTGTGCAGCTGATGAGGATGATGTACAGGAGGAAGCTCCCACATCCCAGACTTGTGGAACTTTGTCCCTACTGCAGGCAGACTACATTGGTGACATCTCAACCACTGAAAATGGCAATGAATGCCAACGCTGGGATTCACAGTCTCCAAATACCCATGGCAATACACCAGAGGACAAACCAAATGCACACCTCGAGAGCAACTTTTGCAGGAACCCAGATGGTGAAGCTCGGGCATGGTGCTATGTAAGGCCCTGCTGGGAGATACTATAAATTTTTGATCCCAGAAACAATCTCACCTGCTGTTTTCTTGGTTCTCTTTTGTAGGTTGCTGACCCAGATGGACCTCGCTGGGAGTTTTGTGCCATTCCTGAATGCCCCGAGCTGCATGGGACTTGTGGATCCAGAGCCAACTTCCAGGTTGACTATGTTGGTTTTGAAAATACAACTGCCAGTGGTCGCCCTTGTGTACCCTGGTCCGACTTTGCTCCTCCTTCCGAGAGTGATGAGTTTCAAGGTGCATTCTGCAGAAACCCAACACTGGCCGAACGTGCCTACTGCTATGTGGCAGAAGATGCCGATGGAGACGGTGCCAACTGGGAGTGGTGTGACATTCCGTTCTGCGAGGATTTAGTTTGAGCCATGCCTCGGTTCGGAGTCGAGCCTACTCCAGAGGGCAAGCCAAGAAGGAGTTTTCATGTTTTCACTTTACAATCTGCATCAAGGCAGTTTGCGAGACATACTTGCATGCAAAGAAAATTTAATCTAAGATAGCTACATATATATACGCGAAGAACGCGTCGTTGCTGGTGTTCTGCCGGAAACTAATTGGGCCCTTCGCTGTACTTTCCTGGCCTCTCTGTGGCTGCATGCACATGCATCTAATCTCTTGTGAAGTCAATTGCAAGAGCCGCATTCGTCTCTGCTGGAAGAGGCGCGTTTCTGCTGATGACGTGCGTTTCTAGTATCCATGCTAGGGAGGTTTCAAGTTCTTCTCTTGGGAGCTGCCTCGACTATTGCCTTTTTTGAAGACATGGCAGTTCTCCTCCTCTGGCGCCCACTCGTCGCTCACGATTTCAACCAATGACTCCATTTTTGTATCCAATTTTTCTTCCCTTTTCTAGCAAGTCTCTTTGTCATGGCTCCTTTCTTGCTCTTCTTTGGCGGCCATTTTTCGTGTTTCCTTTGACCGGTGGTCGCGTCGGAGACGGCGCATTGGCCAGCGTACCGAAATCACTCGCCGCCGCTTCTGTCGTCTTTTGCCGGGAGGTGAGGAGCTCTGGAACTCTCTCACACGACTCCATTGTTTCTTCCACCGTCAAGCCGGTACCAATGTTGCCCTACACGACGGCAATGCATCGAGCAGTTGCGATTGCCGTGGGACGAGGTGGGAGCTGGGGCACGAAAAAGTGGTGGGTGCCAAGATTACAGTTATTTCCTCCACTTGCGTGCATCCTTTTTTCCCCAATGTGACTGTCTATGACCCGCTGCCGCCGTGGCGAAGCAAGATGATTTCCCAAACGGTATGGATCCTCGATTCAATTCGCGATTACGTCAAAATCTCGTGCGTGCTCGACTACCAGTACCCCATCTCTCACACGCAATTTCCAAGTCAAATAATAAACGTCTCTACCTCCGGAACAAATGATGCATAAATCGAATCCCAAAGTTTGTCTCCAACGATGTGTTGTGGTCTCTCTTCAGCAGACATCACAGCTTAGGTGTAAACAAAGAATTTCGAGAGATCTGCCCCCTTTGGAATTTCGAAATTAAAATTTCCCAACCAGTCAGGCTTTGTGTAGGGCTTCCCTTCTCCCTGATCACTTGCATCCGTCGCCTCCGGGGTGCCGTCCATTGTGCCTGCTGCGCTGCCGCCGCTCTTCGTAGTTGTCTCGGAGTTGGCATCGTCAAGTTGCTGTTCAAATGTTGTGCGCGCGAACACCACCCCTAATTCAATGTGCCGAAACTTAGTACCATCCATGCTGGAGAGCAAGTCCCAGCCGATTGTAACAAATGGGCGTCCCTCCAGCGAATCTTGCACCATGAATGCGACTCCTCCGAATTCGTCATCTTTGCTCTGGGTAACACCGACAATTAAAAAGGCGTGTCGAGCGTCGAGGAGGTTGGCGCTCACCTTCTTCTTGTGATAATCTCCGTCAAAGAACAATGTACTCGTGTTCAAGTAATCGTCGAATGGCCGAAAGCCTTCCACCAACAAGGGACCGGTCTCGTTAATGGAATTCTTGATGTAGTCGCAGATGGTATCCGGTTTCAAATTTTTCATCAATGAAAAAACGCCAGTTTTGCTTTTTTTTTCGACCGCTGCTGTCGATGCTGCCGTTCTCCAGAAGTTCATCGAGGATGTCCTCGGGATACCCGCCGTGTCCGCAAAAGACCGTGCCGAAAATTTGCTCCTGGGCAAGGTGGTTGCGCATGTAGCGTCCTACATTGATGGCATACTGTAGGACAGCCTCGTCTCCCTTTGTTCCTATCGTGGATGACATGAAGTAGAGAATTAAATTGGCGGCACTCACGATATAGCAAACCATCGAAATTTCGTGTTGAAGGCGCACGAAGGGCTGCACTTGCTTGGATCAGTCCGGGTTGTTGAAGATGGTTGGACCTGTCTCCCAGTCTTTGAATCGAGGGAAATATTCCAAGAAAAGTTCAAGATAATCAGGGTGCTGCTCATCTTGACTGTCCTTGGAGTCACCTCCACTCACTACAAATGGATGAAGGCGTTTTCCTTCGACCTTCTCGAGGTCCAAGGAGTTGTTGAGCATCTCCGTCCAGGTCTGCGGGAAGCGCTGCTGCAAGAGGACATCCTGGCTGTTGAGGAGGAGGAACGACAACATTGACTTTTGTAGCCCAGACAAGTTCGCCCATTGAGAGGAAAGATTAGCAAGGAGCTGATTCGCCGCCTGCTCCATGGAATGTAAGCTCTTGCCATGGGCTGCCTTTGGTGGAGTCAGTTGGTTGTTGTAGTAGAGATCCTCAAGCCTGTCGAGGGGGTCGCTGCGATTGAGTATGGGAGTATGCAGCGGCACAGACGCAACGCTCGATGACAGGGTGCTAGAGCTGCTAACGAGAGTCGGAGTGGTGGACATGATAGACATTGGAGAGTTGTTTTGTTGTGTTGTTGTTTTTTGAACTGGGAAAGTTGCTATGGGTTACGGTACACGTACCAGGTTCGTACCACCAGATAGCGAGGGGACGGCACGATGCAGGAACAAACCGGCCGGTCGGTATTTGTAACGGCTGGTCAGACCGGTGCGAAATACAGATTGACCGTTAGCTTTAACCCTAACGAATCACTCAAAACACGAGAGGCTCAACGATCGATCCACGTTACATGTACTAGTACTACTAGCTAGCTGGCTACCCCTACTAGTACCAATAATTTTGCCCTACAAGACGGCAAGCATCGAGCAGTCGCAATGGATTGCCGCAGGAGGAGGTGGTACCGGTAACTGGCCCACGAATAAGTGGTGGTGGATCTCTCCTGGTAGTCTAGTGTCCCCCCAGCATATTTTGGTCCTGTCTTCCAGAATTCGGAAGTATTAATTACCATAGCCAACGTACTAAGTATTGATCTGGACCAATCCGGGCAAAATCGGCTTACTTAGAGGATCGACAATTTTTTTCCTGTTGATCGCTGATTTACTTAGCGAGGAGAAGTCCTCTTATACAAACCTGGCATCTGGATCAAACAGGATCCAAAACTGTCGACTAGGATTCTACTTAGAACGGAAAGCTGTCGAATTTGGATTTATTAGGCAGCGAGAGGCCTTTCAAAATCGTTCTTTACTGTTTAATTGGACTAATTAATCGTACTTATTTACTATAGTAATCCGACCAAGGCTGTCAAGTGATGTTTTGAGTCAAAATTCAGTACAACAAATCATTCAGAATGAGCAATGCATGTCGGTACCGGCAAACTAGGCCTAAAACTCGAGGTTCTCTCCGAAATAAGGGTCTTTTGGAGGCCCCTGCATGGCATCACCAGGACATTGGTTTAAGGAACGGCGACGTTCAAGTTCAAGGTGGTGTCGCCTGAGGTGTGCCTGCTTTTTCTTTTCAGCAATAAGTGCCATGGACATGGCAGAAAGGCGACGCTTCCGCGAACCCCCACCAGGTTGTACACCATAACCAGGGGTACACACCTCGACATTAACTGGACCAGTGGAGTGGTGATGATATATGGGGTTGTTGTTGACCGTGACCTGTGGAGAAGATGTGACGTTTCCTTGATAATTTCGGTTTCCAATACTGCCATTACGATTTACAGAAGAAGCAAGATGTTGGTTAGGATCAGGTTCTCGTCTGCGGAAATTCTCAGGGCCTCCACTGCCCCTCCCATAATTATGGGGCGGAACAGGAACAGGTGGGATCTTCTTAGATGGCTTCTTGTCACCGTGCGGACACTTCTCCACAATAGACAAGACCTGATCCACCTTGTTCTTAACGTTCAAAATACTGTCCATAAGAATCTGGTGGTTCTCCTGTTGAGTCTTAAGAATTCCGAGGATTTCGGATTGCTGGTTCTTTTGAATTTTAGTAAATTCTTTAAACTTCCGGGAAACATGATTCTTAACAAGGGTACCGTTGTTCTTAACCTCCAAGCCAAGAGTCTCAACTTTGCTTTTGATAGTTAAAGCTGGCTTGGGAGCGGGCTTCTTACCAGAACTTTGAGGAGTAGATTTTACAGCAGTGTTAGCGGTGTTAGAGGTCTTAAAGCGTGGCTTCTGTTTAGAAGCCGTATTAGTGGAAGCTGTGTGCAGCGACCAATAATCCTTAGGGGCCTCCTTGTCACTATCAGACTTAGATGACGAGTTTCCATCCCTTAACCAGTTTTGGTAATCCATCTTACGTTTACTGTCTTTAACTCTTTTGGCTCGCTTACTGGCACGAACCTTTTCCACCTCGCTAAGTTCCCCTTCCTCATCGTCATCTGGATCACTTAAGACATTGTCAAGAACGGATTTCTTGCTGGGTGCTTCTTCATCGCCATCGGACTCGCTATCACTGCTTGGAGGGAACGTATGGAGCTGAAATTCATCGTCGTCACCATTCTGCACTCTGGCTCCGGCATGATCGGGCTCCATATTGGGGAGAAAAGCAGACTCATTAAGGTTGTTGGGCTCCTCAGCTACAGTCTCCAATGCGACGCCCTCATCAGAGCTGTCAGAATCAACAGTTTCAACTACAATTTCCTGAATGGATGGCATGTTTCCAAAAATGTGAGCACGTCCGATGGAAGTGACAACTCTACAGAGGTACTGCACTACGCTAAAAGCTAGTGTAAAGATCTTTCGAGTGTTTTGAGTTTGAGAGAATGAAAGTTATGAGAGGATTAGAAAGCTATGAAAACTAATCAACGAGAGAGATCCACAATCAAAGGATCGTAGATCTGAACTCCCGCGGGAGACTGTAGAGTGTGATAGAGTAGGTTGCGGTAGCAATCCTACTCACTCCACGATCCAAAAACGGAACGCGTGGAAGATTCGTCTAGCATTTATCTAGTAGCGTGGAATCTCTCCACGCCAGCTAAATATCTAGCGCGATTGCACTACGCTAAAAGCTAGTGTAAAGATCTTTCGAGTGTTTTGAGTTTGAGAGAATGAAAGTTATGAGAGAGATTAGAAAGCTATGAAAACTAATCAACGAGAGAGATCATCATCAAGGGATCGTAGATCTGGCTTCCCGCGGGAGACTATAAAGTGTGATAGAGTAGGTTGCGGTAGTAATCCTACGTCTCTCCACGATCCTAAAATGGAACGCGTGGAAGGTTTGTCTAGTCTGGATCTAGTAGCGTGGAAGTACTCCACGCTGGCTAAATATCTAGAGCGATGTTTCATCATCAACCTAGTATGACCAGCGCGTCATTGAGAACCCTGTCTCAAAGACTATTCACGAGAGACTCAGTCATGGAGTCGAACTCAAACCCTATCTAGGATCGAGTCGCGAATAAGGCTAAGAGCCGTGTATTGCATTCGCCCCCTGACAAGGGTCACAGAAGGCGCGAAACAGTCGGACAAGGAGACATATGATTTAATGAAGTGCGGGGCACTCTCATGAGATTTGGATGTAGACATGTGCATCGCACGATGGCAATCCTACAAGGGATCAGGCCTGTATGGGTGTATATACCTATGTTCCAATCTGGTAGACTGTGCCGCTATTGGGGGTAGCATGTCGGAGCCGTACTGTGCCATTGTCATTGACTCAGTCTATAGTGTAAGGACCTTTGTACTTTGGCTGACCGTACTTGCGTGCTGATACTGTTGAATCATCAACGGTATCGTTGACATTGTATGATGAGGGACACGCGTCGCGTTTTTCCTGTCGTTGTTTTGTTGATTAGTCGTTGGCGACGTTCCTTAATGTACTTCCAGTTGGCTTCGAACCGGACGTTGTGAATGCGTCACGATGAACACGAGCTGTGCGGGCGTTGCGCGCAGGGTGGTATGAATCGTGGCATCATTGCAAAGCGAACCGCTGAGGACTCCATCCCAGATCCATTCACGAGGTCTTTTTGGCACTTGATGTTTTTGAACAGCGATCAAGTTACGTATGGTTTGATGAGCCAGCTCGACCATAGAGTTGGCTTGAGGGTTACGCGTAGTGATGAACTTGCGACGAAGTCCATATTCATCCCGGAGTGTCCTTTCGACCTCTGCGGAACTCGCGTCCTCTATCATGATAAACTCAGCAGGGCATGGATACCGAGTAAGCCACAGTTTGTTCTAGGACGATGGCTACTTCGTCTGCTGCCTTGGAGCAGATCTCTGCAATCTCGAACCATCCGGTTACGGATCAATCATTGTCAAGCAATGAAGTGTGCAGGAATTCTTTTCTTAGGATCCCCGACGTTGTAAGGCCTATCAGGTCAAACATGTCTTTCCCAAGGGATCTCCTCGCAATCTTTGGAGGCATCAATCCCAGCTTACGCGTCTTGGGGGTGTTCATCTGCAGCTTTGGCACGCTGACATACGGCCTGCCCAGTCTTGCGCGTCCTTTCCAGGTGTAGTGTTGGCTGATGGTTAGTTCTGTGCGAGTCTCGCAGGATGCATCAGCACACACATGGTACCATTCAACTAGCTTCTTCTGCATAGTTTTAGGTACGACGATTTTATCATCCTTAACTACTAAGTCATAAGACTTATCCCCTTGGGAAAGATTGCTTCTGTAGTCGTTTGGCTTGTCCTGAGGAGGCTTCTTGATATCGTTGTCGTCTTTCTGACGATGTTCGATCTCGGGGAACGAGAGAGGGAACTCGCTAGGGAAGTCCTCTTCGTCTGCACCATGAGTTCAGCGATTTCGCTGGCGTCCATCTGTTCTGAAGAACCGTCGTTGTTGGAGATAGTTAAGTCTCGACAACGCATCAGCGACGATTTTCTGTTCGCCCTTATGTACCTAGTTCAGGGCCGTATTCTTCCAATAAGGCGCCATCGCATTACGCGATCGTATTGAAGTTCTACATGTAAGATTCTTGTGTCCGTATGTACAACGATCTTCTGTCCTGAAGAATGTTACGGAACTCTTTTAGAGTTTCTACGATACTGAGATTCCTTCTCGGCAACTGTGTAACGTGTCTGAGCAGGGTTGAGCTTTCCTGCTGTAGAACGCTGATAGTTTTCCCTTCTGGGAAATTCGCACCTAGTTGAGTATCACTCGCATCCGTGTGGATAACAATATTATTCTAGTCGTTTGAATCAGGGTAGGCGAGCAGGTTTCCTTTGCTGATGTATTCTTCATCGGCTAAAGGCCTTGTCGTGTTCCGCTTCCTTTCCACTTCGTTTTTGGAAGTCAACGAAGCGAGTGGGGCCAGTACATGTGATCAGTCTAATCCACATGTCTCGATAGTAGTTCACTAGTCCAATGAATCTACGGAGTTCTTTTCTGTTGGTAGGAGGAGCGATATTCTGGATCGCGTCTATTTCTTGGTTATAGGTTGGATCCCTTCTCGAGTAATCCAGTAAACTAGATTCAAGTTCTCTTCTTTCGAAGAAGGACTTGGTAGCATGATCTTAAGTCCGGCTTCTCGAAGCCTTCGGAGAACTTCATCCAACTTTTCAACGTGATCTGCTAGATCGCCTTTATAGGATGAGTAGATCAGTCAATGTATGAACGGACGTTTTCTAGGTCTGTGCATTAAGTTCCCATCTTCTCTTGAAGAGATGTCGTGGACTATTACACAGGCCCATTGGCAACCTCTGGTATTCGTCTTTTCCCATGGAGTACGATAGTACAGAGTTCTTCGAGTGAGGTGCAGCTCGATGTGGTAGTAACCCATGTTACAGGTCTAGATGTGCGTATTGAATCCATCTCAGATTCAAGAGCATGTCCTGTATTTTTGGGTTAGGATAAGGCTTCGCTTAATCTTTTGTTCAGTTCCCGGAAATCAGAGATGAATCGTACAACCAATCTTTCTTGGGAATGAATAAAGGTGGTGCCGCCCACTCGGAACGGTTTACCTTCTTGATACTACCTGCCATCGCAGAGACGTTCAACTCCAATCTTAAGGTGTTGGTATAGACCGTGGAATAATAAGCCTAGCAGTGAATAGGGTTTAGCATCAGGAGAAGTTCACTTCGTAGATCGTCCATCTTGCACTTTCCTAAAGTACCATAGAATAGGTCAAGTACTATCGTCATTTGTAAGGAATGAAGCTGTTCCTTCTCTCGGTTTAACTGATCTTTGACTTTGGCAAACCGCCTTAATCAGCTTGTTCGTATTTCGCATCATGAATCTTCTTTTGGACGATTGCACTGTCATCAAACAGCAGTAGGATCAGGAATGAAGAAGTTCTCTTACTTCATTGGTGTCGCTGTCCTTCATAAGAATAGATGCGCCGTTCCCATTTCCAACTGACATGGTAGGTAAATCGAACTTAATCCTAAATTCAGAAGAATGTCTCGACCTATGTATCATTGTCAACGCCCCCAAGCTCGTTGGTACGTTAAGATCCACTCGAATCTATCTTCGTGGATTTCAGGAATCAAAAATGCACCTTGCACTTGGTGCTAGGTGTTTAATTCTCTGCGAGTGGTAGTCCAAATGTTTGGATTCGCACCCAAGAATCCTTCATGCGTAATTTTCTTAGCATGAGGTTGAGCCAATTAAAGGTTCCAGTGCTCCTGTAACCAGTAAGCAACGTGAGTGTAACGGTTTTGGTTTCCCTTTTCTCGCTTGTTAAATCTACAATAAACGATGGGTTTGAGGTCTCTATGTCTTGCGACGGTTTACGAGGTGGTTGGCCACGGACCAGGTTAACGATGCTAAATAGAACATCAGAGTCTAGTTGAGCAAATCTCAGGCAATCATACTAATTTGCCGTAGTGTTAATCATTTGCAAACAATTCTTGTTTACTAGTTATGAGATATCTTCATCACTTAGGTTTGAGAAATCGGAACATGTTCCGTTGAATGCATCATCCTGGCCAATCTCAGATAGAGATTTCTCCATCAAGTGATTGAAATGTGATAGAGGATTGTCTCATTATCAGAGATTTATGATTTGCGCTTGGCAACAAGGTTGCAAGTTTGCAAGTAGGTTGTACGAGTATCGTCGATTCTCGTGTTCTTCGTCATTTGCACGAGAGGAAGAATGGTTGTGTGCACGCAACTGTTTCTCAAGGTTGCTGAGAAGCATGCTTTCCTTGAGCATTTTCATGGTGAAGGAATAGTGAGGGTAGCTGAAGCCTATTGTGTTTGTTAACAATGCACTACGCTAAAAGCAGTGTAAAGATCTTTCGAGTGTTTTGAGTTTGGAGAATGAAAGTTATGAGGGATTAGAAAGCTATGAAAACGAATCAACGAGAGGATCATCATCAAGGGATCGTAGATCTGGCTTCCCGCGGGAGACTATAAAGTGTGATAGAGTAGTTGCGGTAGAATCCTACTATCTCACGATCCTAAAACGTAAACGCGTGGAAGTTTGTCTAGTCTGGATCTAGTAGCGTGGAAGTACTCCACGCTGGCTAAATATCTAAGCGATGTTTCATCATCAACCTAGTGATGACCAGCGCGGTCATTGAGAACCCTGTCTCAAATGCTATTCACGAGAGACTCAGCATGAGTCGAATCAAACCCTATCTAGGATCGAGCGCGAATAAAGGTAAACGTGTATGCACATGTTTCACATCACTAGTATGACTTCGGTCATGAGAACCCTGTTCAATGACTATTCACGAAGACTCGTCATGAGTCGAACTCAACCCTATTA